GGGCCTGTGCTTTCGGAAAGGCCTAGAAGGCCTGGGAAATTTCCACGCTGCTCGGCCTGTATTTTGCTTCAACCAACTGGCGCGACGAAACTGCCAAGGGCCTCTCATAATTTGTTAGGCCCGCCTTTACTTAGGGCGGGCACATTTGCAGCAGGGGGCCTTTAGGCCTGCCGAGGACCCAGATCCTCGCATTCCCGCCTCCTTTTCTTTGATAGTCCTCTGAGAAGTCCTTATGTAACAGGCTGCTTCCCTTTCAGCTTTCTCTCATAACTTGAGATAATTTGGGGAGCAATCTTCATTAATTCTTCTCTTGTGAACCACCGGTCTTCTTGAGGATCAACGTGATGTCTGAACCATACTCGGTATTGCATCTGTGGCTTTGGCGGTCGTCCCCTTCATGGAGGTTTGGGCACAGGCATCAGCTTGTGCTCGATGATATCGTCAATGTCCATGTGTCCGTCCATGGTTGGGGGCAGCATTGATCTCCGAGAGGGAAACTGATTTATGGCAGCGAAAGGTGCCAACTTGGATGCATGGAAAACAGGGTAAGTACACAAGTGTGCAGGAATGCGAAAGGCGTATGAAGGCCCATCCGGTTGTGGCATCAGTTTACGTGAAATCCCTAACTCTTGGCCTAGTTCAGATGACTTTACCCAGGCTCTATCACCTACCAGGAAGTTAGAGGGCCGTCTATGTTTATTCTCAGATGTGATCATAGCATCATGAGACTTTCTAATATGTTTAACGGCCTGCTGCAGCATCTGTTCATAATTAACAGCAAACTCTATCCTGTCAGGTGCTGCAGTGGGTTGCCTTTCTGGTAGCAGAAAGTCAAGTGCAGTTTTGGGCTTCCAACCAAGGTGCAGCTGGTTAGGAGTCATACCGGTAGTACTGTGCACAGCATTGTTGTACAAGCTGGTGACGAGAGGTAACTTCTCGTCCCAGTGATCCTGACTTGGCTTAATATAATGTTGAAGCAGGTGTTGTACTACCCGGTTCATCTGTTTTGTCTGGCCATTTCACTCAGGGTGGTT